GCCTGTATATGAGTGCTGAAAAGAAAGACAGTTTTACCCACATCATAAATTCTGACCAAATGCTGTGAGCAGGAAGACGCATATGCTGTAATGTATTAATTTACCACACTGAGACTTTACCAGCAGATTTACTGAACACCATTTATCTCCTCAACTGTTTTGTGTTCACGCAGAGGTCTATGACAGAAGCATGTGAGTAAAGCTGTAAAAATCAAATTTTGCTTGTGAAAAGCCTGCCAGAACCGTACTGTGTGTTCCACTGGCACTTGCTGAACATCCCACAAACCTCCCTACGGACCAAGAACCCCTCAGCAAGGCAGTACCATCCCGAACAAGAGGGATGGGCACATTGGAATTCACTCTGCTCAACGGACTGAAACGAAGTTGCTGCCAGATGGATCCCAGGTATGTAACGCTCTGACCTTTTTTTGTATGCTGAAATAAATAAAACAAAGCCTGGCTTTCCAGGCTGCCGGGGGCCTGTGTCGCACTGGAAGATGTGACGGCCTCCAACAGCTCCACACCTGGGGGGCATCAAGGAGGAACTGAGCTTCCTTTCCTGCAGCTGCACTGCCATGCAGAAATCCTGCTCACGGTCCCAACAAAGTGTAAAGAAAAGCTTTAAAAAGTGTAAAAGAAAAGCTAAGGTGCAAATTTCCTGAAAACGAATGTGGCTGGAATTTATGACTAATTGTTTGCATTGGCTTCCATAAGCACTTGCATAACTCACTTGATTTTTATCCTGTGTGGTAACAAGGATTCATTTCCAGTCACAGGTTGAACCAGAAAACACTACCTGCAGCCACAGAAACACCCAGCAAATCTTCTCTTTTACCTGACCATGGTCAACTTCAGGTCATCTGCTGAGCTTCAAGGAAAACCCCATTTATTCCATGGGATTCCCAAGCCGGCTCTGCTTTGCGTACAGACCCTTTTGCTTCAAGTTCAACAGAGCCAGAGCTACAAAGCCAGACACATATACAAGCCTACCAGCAGTCATTCACTATTGCACTGCCCTGGGGGCTTAGCAGCAACCAGTCACCATTCGGAATTAGAGGCC